CTAGATCGAGACACTGAGTCCCTATTTAAGGAAGAAATAGCGAAACGAATGTCTGAGGTCGACAGCAGGACTCCCCCTGAGGTAGCCTGGCTGGGACAACACACAGTTAGTTGTAGACACAGCTGTAAAAGCTGTTAATAAGCTAAAACCAAAGGTTAGTAAGAGCCATTGGATCTCTACCGCCTCATCCGAACTGACTGACGCAAAAAGAACTGATGATGAGGAGTGAAAGGTACTCAAACGAAAACTTACAAAAAGTCTTCGCAACGACCGTGAACAATGGTGGGCGACAAAACCGAAAGAGATAGAAAAGGCATCGGCGACTGGCAACAACTATTTAGGCTTATCAAGGAAACAGTTGGTAAAAGGCAAATGACTAGTGAAACAATCTCGGAGAAGAATGGCACCATAATTAGCTCCCAGGATAGACGACTGGAACGCCGGAAAGAACACTATGAGGAGCAGTTTAATTGGCCCACAGCCACGCTCAACCTGCCGAACATCCAACACCTCCCTGAATGGGATATAGACACAGGTCCTCCTTCCTTAACTGAGGTTACTAAAGCTGTCACCAATCTGAAATAAGCCAAAGCAGCGGGATTTGATGGAATGACTCCAGAGGTATTTAAGTACGGTGGAGACAGTTAAATGTCTGCATTAACTGAGGTTCTAGGCAGCGTCTGGGAATCAGAGGAAGTTCCATCGGGTTGGTGTAAGTCACTGATTATCCCCATATACAAGAAGGGAGACAAGTCTTCCTGTGATAATCACAGAGGGATTAGCTTGACTAATATAGTATCTAAAGTCTTAGGCTCAATAATCATGCGTAGACTGAGTGATGCTCGGGAGGCACAAATACGAGAGAGCCAGACAGGCTTTAGACCAGGAAGAGGGTGTATTGATCATATCTTCACCCTCCGACAGATTCTAGAACATAGGGATTCCTACCGGCGCCCAAGAATCATTATATTTCTTGACCTAAAGGCGGAATTCGATTCTGTTGACCGAGAGGTCCTCTGGCGATGCTTGGCTGTAAAGGGAATCCCGAGAAAATACATTGCACTGATTAAGACACTCAACTCGAACTCATGCAGCTAGGTAAGGCCTTACAGCGAGTTGTCATCTGAAGTGGTGACGACTAGTGGTGTCCGTCAAGGATGCCCATTATTCCCTTTTCTATTCAACTTCATCATAGATGTACTAATGGACTTAACCCTAACTCACATCAGCGACTCAGGGATTGACTTGCTCCCGGGGAATAATCTCGTTGACTTAGAATATGCAGACGATATAGTCCTACTAGGCGAGGACGCTGACAAAATGTAGAGTCTTCTAAACACCTTGAGCTGCAATCTACGAATGTTTGGTATGTCATTCGCTCCCGCCAAATGCAAGATGATGTTACAGGACTGGACTACACCGACTACTAGATTAGAAATAGGAACTTAAGTGGTGGAGCAAGTTGTCCGCTTCACTCATTTGGGAAGTACGATCAGCCCCAACGGGTTGATCTCTGACGAAATCTCAGCTACGGATACAGAGGGCTAGTTTCGCATATTCCAGTTTACGCCGTCTCTGGCGTAGATGTGATATCCGGCTGACTATAGACCAAAGGGCGGGTGTACTGCTCATCAGTCCACTCCGTCCTCCTTTATGGCCGTGAGACCTGGCCATTGAGAGTGGAAGACATGAAAAGATTAGCTGTATTTGATCATATGTGCCTGAGTTCTATTTCCCGTGTGAAGTGGTATAAAAAGGTGAACAATATTAAGGTTAGGCGTCGAGTTCTAGGTAAGCAGGGGAAATCAATCGACGAGGTTGTGAAGTTGCATAGGCTGAGATGCTTAGAACGTGTGTTACGTATGCCTAGTCATCGTCTTCCTCGACGAGCAATGTTAGCTGATATAGAGTCAGGCTGGAAAAGAGCTAGCGGACGTCTAACAAAAACATGGCATCAGTCAATGAAATCTACAACAGTTAGTCTAAGCCACATAGGAAGGTGTAGACTTCCTGACTGGTTGGGGTCCTCGGGACGGTAAAAACCAATGGTTGATTTTTTTTTTTGACTTGGCTCAAAATCGTTTTTAATGGTGCAGATGCATCCACTCCTTGTGACTTATGATTTGCAATGAAACTATATTGTTCTTCGTTATTACTCTTCCTTTGTCTGACACCTCTGTTTACTGTCTCTAAAATGCATTTCTTGTACTTTCTTCTGTTGCTTTGTGTGCTACAAGGAGGGGTGTGGCAACTTGAACAGCCGCACATTGGTGCAAAGTTCTATATCGAAAACAGACAGACAGAAAGACCAATGCTATTTTTTAATTGTGGTGGACTGGATTATGCGTCGGACTGTCTGTCTGTCTGTTTTTGACATAGAACTTTGCACCAATGTGCGGCTGTTCACGTCGCCACACTCCCTCCTTGTAGCACACAAAGCAACAGAAGAAAGTACAAGAAATGCATATTAGAGACAGTAAACAGAGGTGTCAGACAAAGGAAGAGTAATAACGAAGAACAATATAGTTTCATTGCAAATCATAAGTCACAAGGAGTGGATGCATCTGCACCAGCTGTTAAGAACGATTTTGAGCCATGTCGCCAATTGTTTCCAACCATTGGTTTTTACCGTCCCGAGGACACCAACCAGGAAGTCTACACCTCCATACGTGACTGACTTAAACTAACTGTTGTGGATTTCACTGACTTATGGAAGGCGATGGCTAGGCATGCGTAACAACACACGTCCTAACCATCTTAGTCGATGTGATTTCACAGCCTTGTTGATTGATTTCCCCTTCTTACATAGCACTCGACCGACACCTAATCTCAATATTGCTCACCTTATTATACCACTTCGGACTGTTGGTGGCGAGGAGTCAGGAATACGCTGGGCGAACGATAAGAAGACTCTGGAAGATCTGCATTTTGTAGATGACGTGTGTCTAATGTCACACAAACTCGAGGACTTGCAAGCGAAAACCAATAAACTGGCTGAGGAGGCAGTGAAAGCAGGACTGCAGGTGAACACAGAGAAGACGGAGATGATGTAGATAACCAACCAACAGCAACAACAACCAACACCGATCACCATCAACGGGGAGATTTAACAGAGGTGGCCTCTTTCACTTATCTGGAAAGCATCGTTTCAACTACAGGCGGAACGGATGAAGATGTTAAAGTCAGAATCGGAGAGGGAGGATACGCGTTGATCAGCCTGAAACTAGTTTGGAAATATTCTGCACTCCACCTTAACACAAGGAACAAGATTCGGATTCTGTTATAGACCCATGTCAAGTCGGTGCTTCTATACGAGTCAGAAACTTGGCTAGTGTGTCACGAAAAGGATTTCAAACAGCTTGTTTCAGACTTTCATCAACAGCTGCCTTCGTTGGCCGGCCAGAAAGAATAAGCAACACGAAACTATGGGAACAAAGCAACCAAGATCCGGTTGCTCAATAAATAAATAGGATAAAGTGGAGACGGATCGGCCATACACTGAGGAAGCCATCGAATGACATCGCACGTCAGGCCAGTGCTCGAGTGGAACCCAAATGGGAAGCGACAAGTGGGTCATCAGTGCGAGGGTGACATGGAAAAGATCGTGTGAGGAAGAGATGAGGGAGTTTGGTCAATCATGGACCCAGCTGAAGAGGACGGCAGAAAACAGAACAAAGTGGAGATCTGTTGCTGAATCCCTATTTTCCACTCGGAACTCAAGGGAATAATAATAAATAACTCTACCAATCCGCGATGTTGGGCAAGCTGGTGTCGTTGTTTGATAGGTAAAAAGGAATTAATCAGATTTACTGGTTTGTTTGATTGGAGACTTTCATAGATGGTATTTATGTTCCTTCTGTCCTATTTGTTGCGTTTCTCATACTTTAGGAACAGACTTCTGTTTATGTGAATGAAGACTATTTCCCCATGAAATTCATCAAGTCGTTACAAACCGAACATCTGAGCGAAAATTATATACATGTATGAAATAACATGTTTTCCACAATAAATAACATATACACATATTTTTAATATCTAGTGTTGATAATAACAGAGGTACGGGATAGCTAAATATATTTAATCAATGTACAAATGTCAACCTGCAAAATGACCTACACAAGTTCATTTCACTTTCTATAAATTAAGTATATATCTTTTGATTTCTACTAAAAGCCGAATGACTTCGCTGAAGTTGTGGCTTACCCAGGAAAACTTTCGTGTTTAGGATATCTATCTAAAGGAATGGGTGAAATTTCTAATCGTATGATGAAAGCTGGGGGGCATACGTCAACCTTGGCCACCTATAGTGATTCCACGACGTCAGTCTGATCGTCAACAGTCAAGTCTGTAAAACTCCAGTACACGCAGCATTGCTCTAAGCTTGTTAGGCGTAATCTGTCCGAGGTGAGCGGTGAGTCTACGTGTGGTATTTTTGTTTAGGATCCAACGGTATGTTTAAAAATGGTGAAAATCGTCTTTTAATGAGTGACTTTATTTTGGAATACCGGGCTCGGTAACTTGGACACATGCTAAAATATCATCCCCCGCAAATTCCAAACCTTCAACTGTTTGCTATTGATCAATTTACTTTTTTATATAATCAGGGTACACTGTAATGTTTTCATGGGAAAGTAAAAGCCTGAACAAACTCAAAAACAATAATTTGTGCTCGAAACATCATCAGTAAATATCAATGTATAACTGTGAGATTTTATCAGAATAAAATTCTATCCGTAATGGAGTTATACTCTAACACAGTGCCCAAGTTTTATCCTTAAGTCACAATTTTTATTTCGCTTAGAATGATAAACTTCAAGACATCTACTGAGAAGCAGGCCACGATTTGAATGCAAAATATTTAGTGAAGTACTACTCAGAAAGGTAAACCTAAACACATGCAATATGAAAATGAGCATACTAACATGCGGAAGTTAACGGAGTTGGACAGGCATACGCTTGATACATAAGTTATAAGAAAAGGATGTTCATGTACAACCCACCTGGTCTGGTGCCGATTTCATTGATTCTTTGAACTTTCGAAATCTCACTTCTTCTTTAGTTTCTTTTTTCGCTATGGACTCAAGAGCTTTTGTTTCATCGTCACTTAAGAAGAAAAAGTAGTTGAAATATCAGTAGTGATAATTTGTTTTTAGGTTTTCTCAAACAGCACTAGACTTCAGAATCTAATACAATAATTCGGTGATAACGTGATGGTTGATAGGTTTAAACCGACTTGGTTTAAGTTTAATCATTAAGAGCTTCTAGAGTTGTAACTGATCAGGATACCTTAATCATTAATCTTGGGGATCAAACTAGTATGTGACTGCTATTTCACAAATCTCTTTTCACTCTAACCACTTAGTTTTAAGTATCCCAGTGCTGTTTCTACAATACTTGAAAATTAAACTTTTCAGACTTTTGTATAACTATAACTTACATACACTTTGCAGACAATTCTCATGCTCTTCGTTTTCATTCTCATCATTGAAGATAAAAAAGTATTGGTAAGCTTTCTCCCTAACGTCTGTCCCCAATTATTTCAGCATGAGAACATTAAAACAGTAACGCACAACAAATCACAAGTCATAAGGAAAGCTACTTAGATTACAAAACGCATTGTAAGTAAGAAATACAGACTAAAACAAACAAAACGATGAAAGCATCTACAAGTGAGTGCAAAACAACACGGTAATATAACTGCTTCAGGACATGATCCAGAAAAACGCTGCACGTATCCAATGAAGGTTTGATAACGTAAGTTCACCAACTTTCCTTCCGGTGTACCACTACTTCTGAACAAATTTCGCCAAGTTTACCAAATATATCTTGGTGATATATCCAAACTGATAGGTAAACTAAACTTCAAGCCTTAAAGTAGTGTAAATAGAAACAAGTAGAGAATACAAAGAAAGCTTAATTCTAACTGCTTTACTTTGTTGGTTCTGATTCAGAAATCTCACTGCTACTCTCCTCTTGATCGTCAAAATCATCAATATCATTATCATCATCTGCAGGTTCAGAACACAGACGATACTCTGGGAGCAAAAAGCTGTTTTCTTCAAATGATAACTTGATGGCTTCCTGATTTATTCCACACACAGACTTATGTCGCTTCCAATCTAAAACCTAATAAGGCGGGCAGTACTCTTTCACATAATTGAACTAATAATTACCTGATGAACTTTTGAACAATAGAAAGTATTCTTACACTTCGAACACCTTTTTCTGCTTTGCATCCACAGACCGGGCAAAGAGAACAATATTTAGCAGCACATGGAAGAGAGTTCGATTCCAGCAGGGATTTCACAGTTTCCCAAGAAGGATATTCATTTTCTGGTGGTTCAAAGCTTAATACAGAAGATAATATAGGAATTCATGTGATTACCTGTAGTAGCAGTTTTCTCTCGGTAACTGGGAGCGAAATACATAGAAGGGTGTTTGATCCACCTCATGATGACATCCACCTTTGCGGCACATGAACAAGAACAACATTCGATGGAAACAGTCTGACTTTTCAGAAAGTGGTGAATATAACTGAGCAGAAATAATATTTGGAATAGTGATCATACTTGTAAAACGAAGCACATGGGATTTAAACACACTGGACAAGCCAGTTCACTTGGAGATGGTAAATGTGAAAGTGCAAGCCATGCTGGTCGGCCACCAATTTTATCCGGAAACAGATGGGAAATTAAATGCCACGGTGTGCCAGAAGCGGCAAAACCAAGGGCAAGCTTAGAAGGCATCATAAGCAATGACTTCTAAAAGTGCATTATATTTAAATCACAATCAAAAACAGGTGACAACAATATAAAACCTAATAGACACGATAACAAATATCCACAATTAAACTAAAAAAACACTAAAGAGAAATAGCGTGGATAACACACAAACTGGAGTGTGATAAATTCCGTGCAAAGTTCTGTCTTGAAACTGAGTCAGTCACGTACGAAACAGTCAAAATATCAGAAGACTGATGTCCAAGTGCATCCGCAGGCGAATACAACGCAATCTGTGAGGACCACGTGAGTTGCATATCTAAGATTTGGGTGCTCCATAACAGTCATCTAATCATCAATAGCCCACTTCTGTAGCTATTACCAAACGATGAATTTCCACTAACGCGGGTCGCTCAATCAATTTAATACTTACCTCAAACAAAATCCCGTTGCTTAATACTGATAATCGCCAACTAATACTAGATGCATCAGTCGACATTTAGGCGGAATTCTTCTTTCGTTGATGTACTTTATGGATTCATGCAGTGTCTGACCATCACTAGCTCTTTCCCAACCTAAGCTTATATCACCCAACACCACTTTTTGGCGAAGGCGACGACTTGATCTGTGTAGCACATGTCTAAGTCATTCTAATCGATGCGTCTTCACAATCCCATCAACTGACCTCCCTTGTTACCCAAGCCGAACGTGAGTAAACTAGTTAGAGCCTTAAGAATTCTAAAATTATTCGTTTATTGCATATATCACAGTGATACGGTATTATTTACTGGGTAGCATTTTGAGCACAATTTGTTCTTTTATAATCGTACCAATTATAACTACACAACTCTGTACACCATCGTTTGTAGGATTGGTGAAATGTTCAAGGACTAAACATATAAATAGTGAAAAGGAAAATCTATAGAGACAAAATCTACGAAAGACAAGAGAAACCTTGACGCTTAAAAGTTATCCATACATAATAACCAATAAATATATGAAACAATTAAAATGAGGCGGATAAACGGGTATGATATGAGTAATTAATATATACACAAAGATGACAACACCAAAAAGATGGAACTTAAAACATCACTAGGGTTACCATACAAAGACCAAACTTCTGGGATTTTACATAGGAATCTTAACAAGCAACATTCAAACACCACTTAGAAAAAAATTACGTCAGTTAAAAGTACCTGTGGAGCTCACTAAACAAAACAATTTAGTTTATCTAATACGTTACAATGATCATAGTGTCAAATACTCAAGTCAAAATATTAGGCCAGGATCAATTAGATTAGCACAACACAAAGCATAATGAAGTTCAAGCTAGCACACCGTACTAGGATTAGAAGCCTACAAGAAAGCTCAAACAGACCATTACCTACAACTCGGCTAGAAATACCACCAAAAGCTACAGAACTGTCAGTGGACACCAATCTACCAACAACTGCAGAAGACGTGAATACAGTCAAGCTACTGAAGGCCGGGAAGGCAGCAAGGCTGGATGGCATTCCTCCTGGAACACTGAAAATGGATCCCGAGATCGTAGCGGATGTGCTCACGCCACTATTGCGAAAAGTTTGGAAGGAAACAAAGATACCTACTGATCGGGACACTCCTGTTTACTATCTATCTTTTGAACCATCCTTTACTCTCTTCTCTCTTTGTGTGTTACATAGAGTGTGGCGACTCGAACTGCTGCACATCTGAGAAAAGTTCTGTGTTGAATCCAGTCTCAAACTGCCAAAGAAGAAGAAGGACGACTTAGACCTCTGTAGGAATTGGCGCAGAATCATGTTCTTATCCACACCAAGCAAAAAATAAGTCGCGTCATCCTAGAAAGACTAAAAGATGCACTGGATGCAAAAGTCCTACCAGGAAAACCTGCATTCAGGAAGAGCAAATCACGTGTGGATCACATTGCAAATTTACGCATCATCAACGAACAGAGGCATAGGGTAACAGTCAAATCTCTATCTTAACTTCATAAACTTTAAAAATTCCCCCGACATTGACGACCGAAAAGCAATTTGGAAACTACTTCGACGCTATTGAGTGCCAAAATTCCTTATTAACCTCCTTCAACAATTATGTGAGTGTCACATGTCAAGCGGTCCACAAGGGAAAACTCAGTGAAGCGTTTGAAGTGAAGACAGGAGTAAATCAAGGCTAACTTCTATCGCCAGTGATATTCCTAATTGTGATGGACTGGGTCATGCGTCAGAGCGTGAGAAGCAAGAAGACAGGAATACGCTAGACCGATAAGAAGACACTAGATCTGAACTTCTCGCGTGATTTATGTCTAATATCACAAACAGTCGGAGACTTACAGGCGAAAACCCACAAACTGGCACAAGAAACAGCAAAGGCACAACTTCAAGTGAGCAAACAGAAGGCGGAGGTAATAAAAATAATCAACCAAAAACAACAACAACGACAAGCACCAACCAATAACACCAGAAATTTGAAACAGGTGACATCTTTCACCTTGCCAGGTAGTATCGTTTTAACTACAGGTAGAACGGATGAGGATATCGAAACTAGAACTGCATGGGTAACTTACACTCACATCACTCTAGTCAGACTGGAAATCTTCAGCACTCAGAATCGAGAACAAGATTCAGATTTTCAACACCAATGTTAAGTCATTTCCTCTACAGGGGTCAGACACGTGGCGCGTCACAAAAGGCATTACTAACAAGTTTCAGGCATCTGTCAATCTCCTTCGCTCTATACTGAAAGCCAGACGATCAGGAAGGATTATCAACAAGAAACTCTGGGAACGAACCAATCAATTACCTAATCCTCAACAAATATGCAAGACAAAGTGGAGATGGATAACACACACCGAGACCATCGAGTGACATAGCACGCCAGACCCTCGAGTGGAAGCCAAGTGGAAAAGGATTAGATAGGCGTTCAAAAGGCATCATGTGGGAGATCATGTGAGATTATGGAAGCTTATGGATGATGGCGGGGCAAGCTGAAGAGGACTGCGGAGGAAAACAGCAAAATGGAGACGTGTGATGAGAAATGTAATACACGCAAACTGCATAGAATTAAAAAGAAAGTCGGCCAGAAAGAAGCCATCGTGGTCGACAAATCCCTTGCAATTTCAGTGTCGATATGCCTTCTCTACCAAAACTGACCACTTACATAAATTTGGTGAAATAGCCTGCAAACTACTAATGAGTTGAATATATTGGTTCCCAGCATAACCATATGTCAATGGTTTTTTCCTGTCACAATACATAAACATGCTTCTTTGGATACTCAAAATGAAGCATTATTTCTACAGCACTACCAGTGAATGGTCCATTTTGTCTTCCTTCCGAATTTCCGAATGAAGGCATTCATTTTTCCCAAAACACGGTGACTCTAAACTATAGCAGCCCAAAACCATACTACCTCCAGTGACCAGTCAGATGCGTCAGAATTAAAGGTGCGTTATTTGAAATAAACGTGTATATACAAGTAATGCAATGTTAAAAAATGGTCACATAGGATAGTAATCTTGCACATGTTCCAAGAAAACCTCCCAATTTCTCACAGGAGTCCTCATATTTGGGTTAAACCAACTTCTGTACATAAATTAGTTAAGGTCATCAATCCGTTTATCGAATAGCCTCGTTTTGGGCTGCTATAGTTTAGTCACCCGTTTTAGTAATCATTCACAGCTCCGAACACAATATGAAAAGTGAAATGAACAACCAATTTAGGGGCTTTCAAATCACTGACTACTGTTACTAACACATTAACGCCGTGGATTTAGAAACCATAAGCGCAAAGTGAAATCTACTGGAAAACCAAACTGTACGATTACACCCAACACATACATCGTGAGGCAACGTAAGTATGGAAATTCCCGCCACTTATACTGGCAAGTGTGCCCGATGCTCAATGCATCTTGGTGAGAAATCATAGTCTGGGAATTATCTGAAATCGTGAATTTTTTGTTATAGAGGATTTTAAACTATATATATCCATTTTCAGTTGTATGAGTAATTTATACCTCTGTCTACTACTTATTGAGATACTCATATGACTAAAAGTGATCGTAAATAATGGCAGTGTTCGTTTGTCAGTTCCAGTGATCCTATGTGAGAATTCCGCCCTCACCACGAAGATATGTGCCGGCTCTTGGTACTAATATTGCGTGTAAGTCAGATCGAAGTGATCTGGGTATCGAACACAGTACATGCAGTCATGCTATTTCTCTGGCTTTCTTGATTTTCGTCTACGGCATAAAGTAGACTGGATATTATGACCTGAATATTTTAGATCTCTAGAGAAAACTGCTGTTGTGTACTCTCCTGACATTGAAACTCGACTAGGGATAAAGCAAGTAGATCAATTAGACAAACTTCTGCGCTGTTTCCGGAGGATTAAAGTGATTTAAGTTTTATTTCAAAGACAACGCACCCGACAGGGCACTTACGCTATCCGCGATTTCCTTTGTTCCAGTTCTTACGCCAACCCAGCCTTTTGATTTTAATTCGGTATAAGCAGTAGTTGAAGGACAATAACTTGCGTTGTATGCAGAGTACTCTGTGTAAAAGTCAGTATCCCTATATCTACCTAACTATATTCAATGTTCAAAGCTTTAAAGGCTATGCGGTCTAAGGGGAGATATTTAGAAGCCGCTACAACTAACACATGTCAGAGAAGCTTGACTCGTCACACAAATCCAGTCAGGAGAAGTTAATTCAATTAAACCTCAGTATACTCCTCAGTCTACAAGAAAGTTTCTATGAATACTTTTGAAAAATATACAAATCCCACTTCCTAGTGAAATAACACTGGATGTAATGTTTTGGCTGTCATCAAAAGCTTCAATAACAGAAGCCTCACCTCAGAGAACATTAGAATGACGAGAATAAAACTTGGCCAGTCTTATAAACCTTTTCTATTTTCTTTTCATTGGCTTACTTGAAATATTTTTAATTCATGAATAATTCCCATTCGAACATTAGTAGACAGAAGACAAGTAGTTCAGCGAAGAGTCTCTTTTCGGCGAATTCATTTTCATAGCTGTACAATCACAAATATATATGGTTATTTTGTGTGTGTGTGTATACATTAAATTTGTCAAACGAAAATACAATTAGTAGGTTCAGATGAATTGGATGTTGATAAGAGGATAGCAACAAAAGTGATGAGTTGTCATAAATGATTGTTAAATAAGAGTTACGTAATGGCATGAATAGTTTGATGAATGAGTTGTGCTCAAAGGGTGTACATGGAAACAAAATAATATACAGAATTATACAAGGGTTTTAAGTTAGAAAAATAAGCATACAAACAGAAGTAAGGTCAAATCAAACAAACAAAGAGAAGTTAGGTCAAATCAAAGGAGTAGTTACCATGCGAGTAGAAGTGGTTGGATAATTTTCTTTTGTATGCATAGTTCTGGATCCTCCAACTGGATGGCTAGGGCTTCTGCGATGCAAAGAAGACGGAATCGTACTGTCTTTGGAAGGTTGTTTTTCACTTTGTAGATTACTTTGAAGGAGGCGTTCGCTGAGATGGAATGACCAGTATTGACGAGATGTTCGATTATTGCACTCCTTATATGGCCATGATTTCCTTTCTGTAGCCACGCTGGATAGTGTTCTTTTACCCTTTTAGACAGGATGCGCGTTGAACGACCGATGTACCTGGCTCCACAGCAACAGGTGAACTGATATATACACATAGAAGTGGTCATGTGCGGAATCTTGTCCTTTGGGTTTCTGCAGATCAGCGGGCGACTGGAGAACACTATTCTTAGTGTTGCCGCAGGGAAAGTTCTTCCTAAAGAGGTGGAAATTCTCCTTCTGAGGACGTCACTAAATAGGTCTCCTTTGAAGTCTAGGTTCATATAAAGTATCTTTTTCGGCACGGATAGTGTCTCTTGCTTTTGGTTTTTCTGTTTGATGTTTTTCTCTACAAATCTTGGTGGGTAGCCATTTTGTATGAAGATTTCTTTCAGGAAGTTTAGTTCTTCTTCCATGGTGTTGGAGCTGCAGATGCGTCTGACGCGAGTGGCAAGGGATTTAATTAGGTTTCTTTTCCGACTGATTGGTACCCAGCTGTAGAAACTTGTTAATTGTCCGTTCCAAGTCGGTTTCCTATGGATTGACCTTCTTAAAGTTCCGTCATCTCTCCTTGTAAGCTGAACATCAAGAAAAGGGATTTTAGATTCATTTTCAGTTTCCAAAGTGAACTTTGTGGCTGGATGGCATTTGTTGAATATTTGCAGTAGTTGATTGAGATCGTGACCGTCATCACAGATGATAAAGATGTCGTCAACATATCTAACGTACAACTGGAAATTGTCGATGGTTGATTTCAGTGGGCCATTCTCGAGGCTTGCCATGAAGCAGTCTGCTAGTAATGGGCCCAGTGGAGATCCCATTGCGATCCCATCTTGTTGTCTGTAAATAATGTCGTTGAATGTGAATTGCACATTTAGTGTACATCTCAGTAGTAGTTCTTTTAAACAGGTCGTCGGTAATCCGATGTTCAGCTGATTTTCGTCGATATAGTGACAAATATAAGAGACAGTTTCTGTGAGTGGAACGTTGGTAAATAGTGATTCAATGTCGAGGGAGAGCATAGTTTTGTTCTTTGTATTGATATCTTTAATGTAATCAACGAATTGGAAAGTGTCACGAAGTGAATGGTGGCACATTCGTTTTCGTACAGGTTCTAAAATGTCAGTGAGCCATTTCGCTATTGAATGGTACGGGGAACCTGACATATCCAGAATTGGACGAAGTGGGAGGTTGGCTTTATGTGTCTTTGGTAAGCCATATAGTCTTGGTATTGTTGACCCTGTCGGTCGGATCTGATCATAGACTTCGTGAGTGATTAACGTTTGGGTTTGCATTCTTTTCAGGACATCGGTGAGTTGCTTTTCGATCTGTTCCGTTTTGTTTCTTTCGTTGGGTGTTTGCGAAAATTTTGTTTTATCTGACAAGATGTTGTTCATTTTCTCAATGTAGTCTTTCTTGTCCATAAGGACTATACCGGCTCCTTTGTCTGGACGAGTTATAAGGAGTTCTTCATTATGTTTTAGTTGATTTAATTCTTCTCTATGTTGCCTTGTCAGGTGGTTGTATACTTTTGGTTTTGTATTAACATACTGATAACAGCTATCGATTATTGTTGATTTGAAACGCTGCAATTCTTGTTCGGAGGTTGGGGTTAAATATTTTTGATTGCACTTTGAACAGAAGCGGACATAATAGACTGTCAGTGTAGTTGGAGAACGAACGATCAATTCATGGTTGTTTGCTCAAACACAACCCCATATTTTTCGTGGAAGTCATCGATAGTGCAGTCATCATTTCATCGTCCGCTGTTAGTTGGAGGAAAGAGAAAAATTATCAGAAGTATTATTGTGATTTGTTGTTATGACATTCATTCTTAGACTTTGTGTACAATAACCTAATGGTTGGCTCTGTATTGGTGCAAGAATAAAGGGTTCTTGAGTCACCAATTTATGTTCTGGTTTTTGCTTTGGTTATTGACGTAGTTACTGAAAGACTTCCAAGGACAGTGTGAAGTCCAGCGTAGTTATAACTGGATATTGACACTTGACATTGACCGGCATATTCACTTTAGATAAGTTGGTGATGTGAGGTACTTGTCGTTTACTAACTTGTTTCATCTGCTCTGAGTGAACAGTTCTGTTTTAGACAAGGTAGGGATTATAGGAACCGTCTGAAATACCAATCATTATTTTGGACCTGTGGTTAGAGAGCGCATCTTGCGACCAGATCACTGAAATATTTCGTCAGTGTCTTCTTACTTTGGTGCTACTCCAATGGCCAACCAGTTGAAATATTTATTTTCCGTGGATCTAAACGAATAACCTACCAATCCGAGCAATCTATTTTTCACTGCTCCGGACAAATTGTAATGTGGTTTGTAATGTATAAATATGACGTGATTTTTGTAACAAATTTGTGACCTAACTGTTCCAGGCGAATGATTGTCTTTCGATATTTTCTTGGCTAGGTGAGACGGAAGGTTCTAGTGACGAATAAGCGTACGGTGTTACCAAACGCGCGTATAATTCAAGTCAGTCTCGTAAACTGTACATTGGCTCATATCAACTGGAGAAAGATTCATAGCAATGGACTTCTTGAAATATTTTTTTCCATTTTGTCTACTGCTATAACCGGGATATATACTGTTGGTTGTTTAATTCGCGGTGATGACAAAGTGTCAAGTATACTAATAAGCAAACAATTCGCGTTTTGTCACGTGTACAAGCCTGCAAACAGAAATTTCCTAAAGGTAAGGCTGGAGTAGCATACATTTTAGGTGTTTTTAAAAGCAATGGTTTTAATAATAATAATCCATATTCTCATATAAACATGTAAATTTACATGAAAATGCATGCCATTTTTACAGGCACGATCAAGTATGATATAATATCAAATCGTAGATTGTCTACAAGTTAATAATGTTTCAACAGTTAAATATTTGATATATATATATATAAACATCATTGTCTGAACTAGTCTGTATAGTTATTGAATTGTACAATTGTCCTCCAGGTTGAGCGGGAAAATCGACTTCGTTTCGTTTTCATCCCGTGGTTGTCGGCATACGATAACCAACCAATATTGAGGTAAGTACAACGTTTACAAGGGATTGAAAGCTGTTTTAGAAAAGTAAAAGTGCTAAGGTGAATCAATAAAGTGTAATGAAATGGGTAAGTGCAAGTATCACTAATAAATGCATTAATAAAGGAAACTCCCTAGGCTGACAACGTTCATTTGCAATGTATAATGCTTCCTGTACAGTTTGCACTATCATGATGTCCACTTTTGGTTTTAATACATTTTTTCCTTATGCCATGTTTTTTATTTTATGCCTTTTTG